GACTGAAACAGGCTCCAGGCTCTGAGCTGGCAGTCAGCACAGAGCCGGACGCTTAACCGACTAAGCCACCCAGGCGCCCCTCCACATTTAAAACTCTTGATGTGGGGCGCCTGGGTGGCTTAGTCGGTTAAGCGTCCGACTTTCGCTTAGGTCATGATCTCGCGGTTCGCGGGTTCGAGCCCCGCGTCGGGCTCTGTGCTGACTGCCAGCTCAGAGCCTGGAGCCTGTTTCAGTCTGTGACTCCCTCTCTCTCTGACCCTCCCCTGCTCACGCTGTCTCTGTCTGTCTCTTTCTCTCTCCTAGAAATAAATAAATAAATAAAAATTTAAAAAAAAAATCCTCTTGATGTGGGGCACCTGGGTGGCTCAGTCGTTTAAGCGTCTGACTTCAGCTCAGGTCATGATCTCATGGTTCGTGGGTTTGAGCACTGCATTGGGCTCTGTGCTGGCAGCTAGCTCAGAGCCTGGAGCCTGTTTCAGATTCTGTATCTCCCTCTCTCTCTCTGACCCTCCCCTGCTCATGCTGTCTCTCTCCCTCTCTCAGAAATAAATAAAACATTAAAAAAAAAAAGTCTTGATAGAGGGCAGAGACCACCTCCATCCACAGTGAGAAGAAGCCACTTTGCCAAATAATCTTGCAATGGACATGGCATGAAGCTGCCAGACTCTGACTCAGGACATATGACAGATAGGTTGGGACAGCACGACATGTATTTGGCATAGGTGTTTGAGTGACAGTGGTGTCATGCGGTTGTATGGGGCAACAGCAATTGCAGTCCCAGCCTCAGGGTCCAGTGTCCTACATTAGGGGATTCAGTTGTGTGAATAGTGGCATCTATACTCAACAGTAAGGCTCTCATTGTATGTGGGCCTCCACCTAGGATTCATTGTGGATTCTGTTCTTGCCTGTGTAGACTCAAGCCTATTTTGTTGCTTTCCTTGAAATAGAACAAGGCCTAATATTTTCTCTCTCTCCTCTTTAAGTCTCTGTAACTATACATATGTATAATAAAAAGTCAGAAATCTATGTATGGAATAGCTTCAGAGAGCATGATTTCAGACATGTTTTTCCAGGTTTATTGAGGTATAATTGACATACACCATTGTGTAAGCTCAAGGGTACAACCCTTGATTAATACATTTCTATACTGCAAAATAATTATAACCAAAGTATTAGCTAAGAACTGGATGATGTTACCTTTCTTTTTGTGTGGCACACACATTTAAGATCTACTCTCTTAGTATCTCAGAGGTTTTATGTTGAGCTGATAACCACTTCCTCAATCTGCCACCTGGTTTTGCCCCTTGAGAGAGAAAATATGTGTCTCCAAGCAGGTCTTGCATTTTTCTTCCTACAAAAAAACCCCACACACTTAAATGTAGATATAAGACCCCTTCCTATAATGAGGGCTCTCATCAATGACTTTACTGATTTCCTATCTGGTGGAACCCCAGGATTGCTTTGTAGGTTTGTTACAAAATACTCAGTCCTCTCCCCAGATCTACCACCTTAGAATGTTGGGTGTGGGCCCAGGAATCACTTACTTTATACGCCCTTCAGGAAAGGTTGATGCACAGCTACATGGGAATTCTGTTTTATGTGCTTGCTGCTCAATGTGTGATCCGAAGACCAGCAGCATCAACACCAACCTTGTTATAAACCCAGAATCTCATGCTGTACTCTATACTGTGTAGATCTTTCTAGTTCAGGAAAATCTTGTGTACACTAAAGGCTGAGCCTCCTGATCTATATGATTTCCTGACGCAGAACCAGAAGTGTGCAGTACGCTCTGGGTGTGAGCTCTTATCAGCTTGCTTAGTGCTGAGCAGTCCAGGGTTTGGTCCTGTTCCTTTCTCTTCTATGACCATCACTCCCTTGGTATCCTTATCTATGCTAAAGGCTTTAAATATCATTTATATGGTATCACCTCCCACATCTATTTCTCCAACCTAGATATTTCTCCCACCAGCTGATAACCTCAAGTGCATTTCTAATAATCTCAGATTTGACATTCTTAAATTGGGTGCCTATGATACTGCTCCCCCAAATGTCCTACTTCCAGAGTCTTCTCTGTTTCCCTAGAAGGCACTTGCAGTCTGAAATATTGGATGCTGTCCTTGATTCTTCCTTCTCCCAACCCAGAATTAATACATTAGGAAATGCTGCAAAGTTCATTTTTAAATGTATGCAGAGCGTGCACGCACGCATGCACACACACACACACACACACACACAAACACACAAAGTAGAGCACAGTCATTTTCAATTATTTTCTCCCCTCAGACCTCAGACACACAGCTGACATCCCCCTCCTAGAACACTGCACTAGCTTCCTACAGTTGCCCTACTGGTCTTTTGTCCTTCACCTCTCAATTCTGCACAGCAGCAAATAAATGTTGCTAAAGAGAAGTAGTACCAGGTAGATTATCTGTTCTAAACCATCTGGTGACTCCACATCTCACTCAGGGAAAACTCAAAACCCTGCTAATCCTCAGGCCTAGACATCTGACCTCATTTCACATGCTCTCTGCTCAGGCCACAGTGCCCTCTCACCCTTCCTTGAACACAGGACACACTCCTGCCCTAGTGCATGTGCCCTGGATGTACCCCTGCCTGGAAAGAACTCCCTGAGACACGCTTTTCATTGATTCCTCGTGTCCTTCAGGTCTCTCAGAGGTCAGCTTCCCAGTGAGGCTCCCTCTGATAGGCTTTACCCAGTGAGGCTTTATGATAGTAAAGTAGCCACCTTCCTCGTCCCAGCACAACTCTCTGGGCACCTTCCTCAAAGCACTTACCAACCTCCAATTTGTTTTTTTATGTTTATTTATTATTTATTTTTAATCAATCAATTAGTTAAGTTTTAAATTTACATCCAGATTAGGTAGTATATAGTGCAACAGTGATTTCAGAAGTAGATTCCTTAATGCCCCTCACCCATTTAGCCCATTCCCCCTCCCACAACCTCTCCAGCAACCCTCTGTTTGTTCTCTATATTTAAGAGTCTCTTATGTTTTGTCTCCCTCCCTGTTTTTATATTATTTTTACTTCCCTTCCCTTATATTCATCTTTTTTGTATCTTAAATTCCTCATATCAGTGAGGTCATATGATATTTGTCTTTCTCTGACTATTTTCACTTAGCATAATACCCTCTAGTTCCATCCACGTAGTAGCAAATGGCAAGATTTCATTCTTTTTGATTGCCGAGTAATACTCTAGTGTGTGTGTGTGTGTGTGTATATATATATATATATATATATATATATATATATATATATATAATCTTCTTTGCCCATTCATCTATTGATGGACATTTGGGCTCTTTCCATACTTTGGCTATTGTTGATAGTGCTGCTATTGGGGTGCATGTGCCCCTCTGAAACAGCACACCTGTATTCCTTGGATAGATACCTAGTAGTGCAATTGCTAGGTCATAAGGTAGTTCTATTTTTAATTTTTGAGGAATGTCCATACTGTTTTCCAGAGTGGCTGCATTAGTTTGCATTCTTATCAGCAGTGCAAAAGAGAGCCTCTTTCTCTGCTTCCTTGCTAACATCTGATGTTGACTGAACTGTTAATGTTAGCCATTCTGACAGGTGTGAGTTGGTATCTCATTGTGGTTTTGATGTATATTTCCCTGATGATGAGTGATTTTGAACATTTTTTCATTTGTCGGTTGGTCATCTGGATGTCTTCTTTGTAAAAGTGTCTATTCATGTCTTTTGCCCATTTCTTCATTGGATTATTTGTTTTTTGGATTTTGAGTTTGATAAGTTCTTTATAGATTTTGGATACTAACCCTTTATCTGATCTGTCATTTTCAAATATCTTTTCCCATTCTGTTGGTCACTTTTTAGATTTGCTTATTGTTTCCTTCACTGTGCAGAAGTTTTTATTTTGATGAAGTCCCGATAGTCATTTTTGCTTTTGTTTCCCTTGCTTCCTCATCATGCCCACAAACCAAGAGTTACAAAACATAAACTCGTATCTGGATTCTCATTTTCAATAAGAAAGAAAAACATCAGTACTCAGCCCAACATGAAATAAAGATGGGGATGGAGAGAGTCCAGCCCTGTTTCTGCTGGAAGAGTAAAGCAGATAAGAAAGGGAACAGGAATCCATATGGGGAGGGGTCTTGGTGGGCAGGGTGGGTCAGTCTAGGAACACAGACATATTCTTTTTTTTTTTTTTTTTTTACAAATAGTTTATTGTCAAATTAGTTTCCACATAACACTCAGTGCTCATCCCCACAAGTGTCCTCCTCCATGCCCATCCCTCCTCCCCCCCACATCCATCAGTCCTCAGTTTTTGTCAGCATTCAAGAGTCTCTCATGGTTTGCCTCTCTCCCTTTCCCCCACCATTTCCGCCCTTCTTCTCCCCCTTGTTCCTCCGTCAAGTTCCTCCTAATCCTCCTATATGTGCAGACATATGATATTTGTCCTTCTCTGCCTGACTTATTTCGCTCAGCATAACACCCTCAAGGTCCATCCATGTTGCTACACATGGCCAGATTTCATTGTTTCTCATTGCCATGTAGTATTCCATGGTATAGATAAACCACATCTTCTTGATCCATTCATCTGTTGATGGACACTTAGGCTCTTTCCATGTTTTAGCTATTGTGGAGAGTGCTGCTATGAACATTGGGGTACATGTGCTCCTATGCCTCAGCATTTCTGTATCCCTTGGGTAAATTCCTAGCAGTGCTATTGCTGGGTCATAGGGGAGTTCTATTGTTAGTTTCCTGAGGAACGTCCACACTGTTTTCCAGAGGGGCTGTACCAGTTTACATTCCCACCAACAGTGGAGGAGGGTGCCCGTTTCTCCACATCCTCACCAGCATCTAGAGTTCTCTGATTTGCTCATTTTAGCCACTCTGACTGGCGTGAGGTGGTATCTCAGTGTGGTTTTGATTTGTATTTCCCTGATGAGGAGGGATGCTGAGCATCGTTTCATGTGTCTGTTGGCCATCTGGATGTCCTCTTTGGAGAAGCGAGGAACACAGACATATTCTGACACTGTTGGCAGAAAGAGAAGTCAGGGGCTCTTGATGGCACCAATGGGAGTGGGAACAAATCTTGCTTCACTCAGCCCCTGAGAGGCAACAGGTCTCACACTGTGAAAAATATTAATCATGAGTAAATTAAGGTCAGTCACATAAGTACCTTCATTCTCAACACCCCCCGCATGTCAAAGTGTCCCTAGTGCCCCCACTCCTCCCCATTCAGGCCCTCCTGAGTCTTACTTTCAGGAGACGTTAGAGACACATCAGAGCCCTGGGTGCTGTCATTGCCTGGGATAGAACAAAACAGGATGTGATCAGAGCCACAGGGGATAAGACTAAAGGAGGAACTATGGTGGGGGTGGGGGGTGATGCCCCCCCATGGGGTCCTGCCTACAGTACCCAGGGTTTCAGAGATCACCCCTCCATACTTACGTGCAGCATGAGAGTAGCTCGGTCCTTTTCCTCCTGTGGGAAGAAAATATCATGATAGAGACCTGGGACAGCTGGGCTATGAGGTCCTAGAGCAAACATCTAGTCCTGGTCCACAATGAAGTTTCCAGAATTCTGACTGAAGACTCAGGACAGGATCAGGAAACATGAAGAAAGAGATTTGGGAGGGCACAGGACCACCTGACTTGCTGGAGGTCTGACCTCAGCAGGGACCTTCCTCTTTGTCCCATCACTGCTGGGAATCAGGTCCCCATCACCAGAATTAAGTACAAAAACTGTCCTTCATGTTCACAAGTGCTTTGCTCCAGAGTGAATGTCAGTATCGGCTCCAGAGTGGGCAGGTGCATGATGTGAATGGTACTTCCCAGGAACAAGGCAGGACCATGTGCTACCTAGGAACCCCCAGCGGGACAAGAGAACTCAGATCCCCCCACTCTCTTCCTACCTGAGCGCTTTTTCCTCCAGATCACAGCTCCAAGCACCACAGTGACCACAAGGACAGTGACAGCCACACCAGCAATGATGCCCGGGATGGGGATGGAAGGCTGAGGAGGCGGCTCTGGAAAGGGAAGGAAGGTGAGGGGTCCACACTCCCGGCTTCAGTCCTGACTTTGTGAACTTCTCCAGAAGGGCCCTGCTCTCCCTGACACCAGGCTCTACCCCAAACCCTCCTTACCCCATCTCAGAGTGATGGGCAAGGGCAGCCCCTCGTGCTGCACGTGGCACGTGTATCTCTGCTCCTGTCCAGAAGGCACCACCGCAGCTGCCCACTTCTGGAAGGTCCCATCTCCCGCAGGCCTGGTGTCCACAAGCTCCGTGTCCTGGGTGTGGTCCTCCCCATCCCGCTGCCAGGTCAGGGTGATCTCCGCAGGGTAGAAGCCCAGGGCCCAGCACCTCAGGGTCACCTCATGGTCAGAGATGGGGTGGCGGGTCACGTGTGTGCTGGGAGATTCTGAGGAAGAAGAAGCAGAAAATCCACACTGGGGTTTACCTTTAGGGGCCACTGAGACTGCATCCATGTGAGCATCCTGAGGTGGACAGGGCAACAAGCACAAGACAGAGACACCAGTCTAGCTTTTGGGATCTCCTGGTCCTTGTTAGGTTCTGGAATCATGCAGAGAGCCTGGGGAGGAGACTGCAGGTCTAAGGTGGGGACCACACCATTGACTGTGGTGGAGGGTGAATAACTTAAAAAACCCGGAGTCAGATCTCCAAAGATGTTCTCAGGGAGAACAAGGCCTTGAGAGGGAAGGTCAGGGCTCACCAGGTGGCTGCCAGGATCACAGGGACCTGCTGATGGGTTATTTCAGGGAAGGTCTCAGCCTGCGACCCAGGGGGAGACTGCATCCCTCAGTGTCCTTTAGAGAAAAGCGCCCTCTAGGTGAGTCACCCTCTGGTAGGAATATGAACACCGAGGCGGGTCTCCCTCTTCCCACCCAGCGAGGGGCGCTGTTCTGCCGCTGAGTCCACTTTCCCTTCCTCGTGGGCAGCCAGCCCCAGGGGAGGGGAGAGCGGGGCGTCCCCGCGGCCCCTGTACCTGCGCGCAGCAGCGTCTCCTTCCCCATCTCCAGGTACCTGCGGAGCCCCTCCAAGCACTTGTCCTCCAGGTACTTCCTGTAGCGCTCTGCCTCCCCGGCCACCTCCCACTTGCGGCGGGTGATCTGCGCCGCCGTGTCCGCCGCGGTCCAGGAGCTCAGGTCGTCGTTCAGGGCGATGTAGTCCGCGCCGTCGTAGGCCAACTGACTGTAGCCGCGGAGGAGGCGTCCGTCCGGCCCCATGTCACAGCCATGCATTCTCTGGATGCTGTGTGACCCTGGCCGCGTCCCCGACCCCAGAGAAGCAGTAATTAAGTCCAAATCGAAAATAAAACCACCTAAAAGCCCAAACCGAAAGTAAAACCGCGTAAAAGCTCCTGCGGGCTCTTCTCCGGTGGGGGGGTGGGGGGGGGAGGGACTAGAGGGTCGCGCGGCCTAGCAGCTGCACTCAGAAACCGAGACTCGGGGCGACCCCGGCCAGTCCATGGGCATGGGGTCGTCACCTGTATCCCGGCCCGCACCGCTTACCGGACTCGCTCTGGTTGTAATAGCGGAGGGCGGTCTGCAGGTTCGGCCGGGCAATCTCTGCGTGCACCTTGGCGATCCGCGTCTCCCGGTCCCAATACTCCGGCCCCACCTGCTCCATCCACGGCGCCCGCGGCTCCATCCTCGGATTCGGGGCGTCGGTGTCGAACCGCACGAACTGCGTGTCGTCCACGTAGCCCACGGCGATGAAGCGAGGCTCCTGGTTGCCTGGCCGGGACATCGCGGTGTGGAAATACCTCAGGGAGTGGGAGCCTGCGGGCGCGGAGGGGTGAGACCCTGCCTGACGCTATTCCCGGCGCGGGGCTGGGGTTGCAGGTGGAGGCGGCGGGGAGGGCAGAGGGACTGGGACCCGAGTGGGGGAGAGGAGGGCCGAGTCGGGGAGGGAACAGGGAGGACAGGACTGGACGAGGCCCGGGTGGGGGTCTGGGGTGAGGGCGGCGGACAGGCGCCTTTCCCGGGGGTCCCCCGTCCCCGCCCGGAGGTCCCCTCACTCCTGCCCCTCAGAGTCCCTTTCCTCCCGACCCCACACTCACTGGTCCAGGTCTGGGTCATGGCCAGGGTCCCCGACAGCAGCAGGAGGAGGGTTCGCTGCATCATGACCCGCATCTCGTGGTCTGGGGAGAATGTGAGTCTCAGCAGGAGCCGGAGGCGCGAGCAGAGGAACCGCGGTGCCCCTGATTGGCTTCTTCGTAAACCCATTACCAATAGAAGTGTGAACCGAGTCCGCATCATCAGTATCTAGGCAGAAGGACCTGACACAGGTTGTGACAGGGAGAAGCGAAACCTGGGTGGGCTATCTGGCCCCCCACACCACCCTGGGGCCTGAGACCCTGAGGGGCTGGCCCGGGAACCTGGGATTTTACCCCGACGCCTCATCTACTGCACAGAGGGCTCTTTATCACACTTCCTGAGTCGTGGCCCAGGAGCTGTGTGAGTCATTGATTCTCCAACAGTTTGTTCTCAGGGTATTTATACAGTCTTACAAATTAGTGAGGATCCCAGTGATAATTTTGTGTATGCGGGGTATATCTATCCATATTTACCATAGTAGGAATAAAACAGGTTTAAATATTTTTAAATTCATTTACAATCATATGAAAACAGAAATATGGTTTTTATTAAAAATAACAATTTTTCCCAAATAAATGGGGCAGGGAGAACAGTGGGTTTTTTTCATTTTACATTTTTGCAAGTCTCCTTCTTGTCTGTCTCATTAGAGACCATTGGATGTTCAGATTTGCTTCTGGATCTATTGTGTTGTTTTGGTTGAAGTATATGAAAAAATTTATGTCCTTGACTATCAGAGAATAGTATGTGTCATAACCTTTTCAGATAATAATGCATATTCCTCCTTGATACTATATTAAAAACTACACAAATTGTAATTTCCCTGAGGTTATTTGCAAACTGGATCCTGAAACAGCATCACTGACTGTCTCCTTCTCTGTTACATTAAATCCATAGGCCCATCTGCACACGGGATGGATTTTGTACTAATGCCTGATTGTTTGTAAGTAGGAAGTTGTGTGTTGTTTCACTAAGTAATATAGGTGTTCCAGCATTGATTACAGTGGAATTGAATTATGAAAAAGTAATTTGTTTTAATATGACCACAAATCCCAACAGAACAGGTGGTCGGTGCTGAGGACCGACCCATTCGGTCCTCAGGTGAACAGGTGGGTGAGAGGACTCACCCATTCACACAGCCTGATGCAGGTCTTTCACTCACGAACCAGGATCATGCATGCCTTGAGCTGATATCAAAAGTCAGATGCCTAACTGACTGACCCACCCAGGAGCCCCTACAGTTTATTCTTCCTAATTAATTTCTTTTTAAAGATATTTTATTTTTGAATATAGTTGACACACAAGATTACATTAGTTTCAGGTGTACAACACAGTAACTCAACTTCTACATATATTTTCTTTTATTGAGAGAGAGACAGTGAGAGCAGGGAAGAGAGGCAGAGGAGGAGAGAGAGAGAGAGGGAGAGAGAGAATCTATGTACACTATGCTGTGCTCACCACAGCGTAGCTGCCATCTGTCACCACACAATGATGTTACAGTCTCACTGACAATATTCCCTGTGCTGTGCCTTTTATTCCTACGACCTGTTCCTTCCTTAACTGGAGCCTCTGTCTCCCACTCCCCCCACCCTGGTGCCCATCCTCCCAACTCCCTTCCCTCTGGCAATCATCAGTTCAGTCTCTGTCTTTATAGGTTTGATTTTGCTGTTTGCTTCTTTTTTTTAATTTTTTATTTTTATTAAAAAATTTTTATATCTTTATTTTATTTTGAGAGACAGAGACAGAGAGCAAGTGGGGCAGGGGGACAGAGAGAGAGACAGACAGACAGACAGACAGACATAGAATCTGAAGCAGGTTCCAGGCTGTCAGCACAGAGCCCTACGCGGGGCTGGAACCCACGGACTGTGAGATCATGACCTGAGCTGAAGTCAGACACTTAACTGACTGAGCCACTCTGGTGCCCCTGTTTGCTTCTTTATTCATTTGTTGTTTGTTTTTTTTTTTAATATTCCACATATGAGTGAAATCATATGGTACTTGTCTTTCTCAGTCTGATTTATTTCATTTCGCAGACATACTGCCCTGTTTGTCTTTGTCCATCCATGTTGTCACAAGTAGCAACACATCTTTATATGTATGTGTATGTATCACATATCTTCCTTAGCCATTTGTCTACAGGTGGATACAAGTTGTATCAGTGTGACTTTTGAAAAAAACCTCACCCTGTGAACATCATCTGGGATGAGGGCGCCCCCTGGTGTCCGGGGCCCTGTCCAGGTGCTGGGAGCTGAAGGGGACCCTAGGGAGGACCTGGCTGAAGAGAAGAAAGGCAGCTAGGTCTTCTCTCCTTGGTCCTGTGGCCGCACGTGGGGTGGAAGGTCAAGGGACACCCCCACTGCTCTGCTCTCTAGTAGATTTGGACTGAGAAGCCTGAGTGGGGCCTGGACTGGAAGTCAGGTAGAGATGTCTGAGCAGAACCTGGGCGTCAGTGGGGAGAGGAAGAAGTTTCTGAGCAGCGCTGGACTCCACAGGGGTCAGCCTCAGGGGTGAGGCAGGACTGCAGGAGAGGAGCGCTCAGGAGCCGGTGCGCCATCGCTGAGGTTTCTGTGTCCCTGTGCACCTCCTCCTCCAGCCCCTTGATGGTAATACAGGGAAAACTGAAAAGTAGAAGCACTTCTATAGGCTCCTTATTTTTAATATTTCAAAATTCAGCTCACCAAAAGCCATTTCTGATTTGGAAACAGCATCTCAATGTCTACACAATACTCCATAGTTTGGATGTGCACACTCACGGTTTGTGAGTTGAAGCCCTGCATCAGGCTCTGTGCTGACAGCACTGAGCATGCTTGAGAATCTCTCTCTCTCTGTCTCTCAAATAAATAAACTAAAAAAATAAATAAATAAATAAAAAGAATTGGTGTTTTCATTTTCTTTGGGTAAATACCCAAGAGTGCAATTATTGGATTATATCACAAATCAGTATGTTGTAAGCCAGATAGGAATTGAACAGTATTTGGAAAGGAAGACAAAAAAAGTCACACATATATATTGGTAATAAATATAAACAAAATGAGAATGTAGAATAAAAAATGGGAATAAATCTTGGAATCTTCAACTTGGCAAAGATGAAAGGAGGTAATGAGAGTGTCCAACAGAGAATCGAGAAGACACACCATCATAAAGAGTGATGGGAGTGAGGACTGGTTTAAAATATTTATAAGGTTCTGGGGTGCCTGGGTGGCTCAGTCGGTTAAGCGTCCGACTTCCGCTCAGGTCATGATCTCACAGTGCGTGGGTTTGAGCCCCACGTCGGGCTCTGTGCTGACAGCTAGCTCAGAGCCTGGAGCCTGTTGCAGATTCTGTATCTCCCTCTGTCTCTGACCCTCCCCTGTTCATGCCGTCTGTCTGTCTCTCTCTCTCAGAAATAAATTTAAAAAACATTTATAAGGTTCTTCTGAAATGTATCTCCATAATTTAAATATGCTTATACTGTGTCATAGACACTCTTTTTGAGGACTTTATCCTTTCCTAAAAAAGTGTTTATTTATTTATTTTGAGAAAAATGAGAGAGAGAGTGCACGCAGGGGCAGAGAGAAGGGCAGAGAGAGAGGAAAGAGGGAATCCCAAGCAGCCTGACACTAGGCTGGACCTCAGGAAACTGGAGATCAGGAGCTGAGCTGAAATCAATAGTCTGATGCTTACCCGAGTGAGCCACCCAGGTGTCCCTCCTTTAGGAGTTTATCCTAAGAAGATAATCATATATTTTGTCAAAAGTATATTTTCAGGGGGAGCATCTGGGTGGCTCAGTTGGTTTAAGTGTCCAGCCTTAGGTCAAGTCATGATCTCATGGCTGGTGAGTTCTAGCCCCACATAGGCTCTTTGCTGAGTCAGAGACTGGAGCTTGTTTTGGATTCTGTCTCTTTCTGTCTCTATCTACACTTCCCCTGCTCATCCTCTATCTCTCTGTCTCTCTTAATCTCTCCTCTCTCCTCCCTCTCAAAAAAAAAAAAAAAACATTAAAAAATGTTTTAAAGTATATTTCAGGGATGTTTTTTGAATTGTGGTTTATAAAAACAGAGAATGAAACTTATCTAAGTGCTATAATCAGTTGATGATGGGAAGTATAAATAGCAGAAAACATGTGATAAACACAGAGGGTAAAAGATAATCATGAAAGCAAACGCATGAAGTGCCCCATAGGGGGTCCCTTTGTACAGACAGGGAAAGGGAGAGTCAGAGGAATAAGGAGGTGGTGGAACCAGGGTTCAACCCAGAAAGTTTGCACTCAGAGGCCTTGTTGACTCTCTTTCCCTGGTTCCCTGTTTGTCAGGAAGTGGTTATGACTGTGCACTCCATGCAAGTGGACTGTTGCAATGTTCCAGAATCTTCTGTGTTGAGAGACTGCTAGTCTGAGAGCCTAGGAGGACATTTAAGAGGCTGTGTGACTTACCTGCTCAAATCAAACTAAAGCCCATCATTCTGTGTACATCTCGAGGCCTCCAGTAGCTCAGGGTCAGCTCACTCCAGACGTAATATGAAGAACAAGCGTGAGCCCCTGTGACACAACACTGGCACTGTCCTATGGGAGGTGGGCATTAGCAGAAATGACAGACACCATAATAAGTTTCTCCCAAGATGACTGCTTTGTGCAGAAAATTCAGGTATCCTGAGGACAGATGATCAGCAGACCTAACAGGTCCCCTACCACTAGAATCAATCATATCTACAGCGTGTAAGAAGCATATGGCATATGGAACAGAATCTATACTACACACAGTGGTGACAAATCATAGAACAAGAAAGAGATCTTGAGAATTAAAATTATGACCATAGAAATGAATAATTGGGTTGATAAAGTGGATGATTACAGTTGTACTTCCCCAAAGTAGTACAGTCGAAAGGTGAAGGCAGCAGGAGAGAAGATCTGTTTGGTTCTTAAAATTTGTTTCTGGGGGCACCTGGGTGGCTCAGTCGGTTAAGCATCCGACTTCAGCTCAGGTCATGATCTCACGGTTCGTGGGTTTGAGCCCCGCATCAGGCTCTGTGCTGACAGCTAGCTCGGAGCCTGGAGCCTGCTTCAGATTCTGCATT